TTCGATACCTGTGTGTTAGCAACCCACTTCTTTCGTTTTTTTTCATGTCCTCTACTGGTATTCATTATGTTCTTGATTGTCTCTCGTTGGTGATATATATGTTGCTTCTGATTTCAAAGCCATCCAAAGTCCTTGAGTGCTATTTCTAAAACTTCCTAGAACTCTGATTCTACTTATTCATCTATTGATAATCAAGATTATGGATAATTATCAATCCAAATTAAATGCTATAAATTAGCTATTTATTAAAAAAACACCAATAATTTTCATTTAGAATTTTTAATATCTAAATAAGTATTCCGAACATTCATATAAAGATTAAAATCCAAGGTATGTTTATTTTTGAACTATTAAAAACACAGCTAAGTTCATTATGCACATGGTTTGAACAGTAGTATACATCCTTTTCTATTCATAATTTATTGCTGTTTTGCTTCTTTTATTCGCTCATCATCATCAGAATAATCTATAAAAGGTAATCCACAAGAAAAGACGATATGTAAATGATCATCCGGTCGAAATGATTCCGCAGAAGATTTACCACCCATGGAGTAAAATATTGAAGGAAACGGACTGCGTAACGCGTTTCCGAGGTTGTAGCATGCGTTTCGCAACGTTTTTGCAATATAGGACGCGTTTCGCAGCATTCTTACTTACATAAAATGAGTTTTGCCACAGTCGTTTTTTGAAACGATCCGAAACGCTTTTTTCAAGATTGCGTTTCGAGGCGTTTCCGAATTAAAATGCTGTCGAACGCACTTTGGTCGACAGGCGACGCGTTCCACAGATACAAATTGGGGAAACGTAAAACGCGTTTCTTTTTCAAATGTGTGTTGCATTGTTTTTGCTTGGAATGATGCAAAATATATCCATTCTGCATACAGAATCTTGCAAAAATTCACCAACACAAAGCATTGGAATTAAGCAAAGTAAATTCTTTAAAATTACTTTGGAAATGATATGAAATAGCACTTGAAAGTTTTGCTCCTTGCACTATTTTTGTACGTGAAAATCATGACCCAGGATTTTATGAAGGCAAGACTAAAATCAAAGTCTTGGAAATTTTTAGGCTGCTAGGCTGTTATCTGGACCTAATTCGAAGTTAGACTAATGTAAAACATCAAAGTGTAACAAAAAATATATTCTTCTTACTTAAAAACTCATTTCACCACGTTTTTATTGAAAGAAAACGTGTTTCGTAAGGTTTGCTTAAGAATTGTTTTCGACTTGTCCACGGAGGGAGATGATTCCGTCACGCTCGTTTGTAATGAATGAAAAGTTACAGACAAATTTGCAGTGTCTCATTTTGACAAGCACAATTTTTTGTCCAAGATTGCAAAGGCATTGGATTCTAGAGATCGAATCATTTGTATGAAATAAAACAAATAAAGCGTGACGGAATCACGTTTTACGTGGACTGGTCGTTTTAAATATTGAGCATTTCGAAGAGATTTAGTAAAGACTGATACTAATATAATTAGTATAGTAACTCTCTTTGGTTATTTGTGAACAAAAGAATTATCGTATTATTTATAATTTGAATAAATATTAGTTTGAGTTCATACTCGAACTAATTGATAATAACTAATGATACTGTGTACAATACTAGTAAACATGATTTTAGTTTGTACATTGTTGAAGTAAGAGTGACTTTTTAATAAAAGAGATTCGATTTACAAAAGAAAACTTCTTTCATTTATTGATGTATTGGATAAAACGATGACGGATTTACATTTACAAAAATCTATTAATCAAGAAAATAAATGAAAGATTAAATTTTAAATTTTTTAAAATTTATATATAAGAAATTTAATTTTTTATATATTAAATGCAGTGTAAATCGATTAAATTCGTTTCTATTGTGTATCTAAATTTAAATCTGAAAGAGTTTAAATAAAAAATGT